CCGGGTGAGGGTGCGCACGCACATTGACTCCTCGTTTTATATAAAACCCAACTCCGCCGCCGCGGCCGCCGCGCACGCTCAGCGGGCGCGGCAGGTGACGCAGACGGTAGCCAGGTACGATCGGTGCGCGCCCCTCCTCTCCATCCCTGAGCCAAGTCTCATTTATTGCCATAATATCAACACTATGTCTATCCATGGCAACAATAAACTCGTCGTGATGAGTACCCAGCGAGCCAGCATTTATAAAACCAATTTTAAAATGTTTTGAGGTCATGTGTAATGTAAAATGCGTATAAGGTGTATGTAACAACCAAAATTGTGCAAGCCAGAAACTATGATTAAATATATAAAAATAGATATGTAATTTTTGTATTTACTTATTATTATATTGTAACTAAATATTGTATAAGTAATTGTTATAATATAGCATTGTAAAAAAATATACCATTTATATATACCATTTATACATATACCACTATTGAATAGGTAAACACTAAAGAAGTTGCAAAAATACGTAGTTGTAAGAAGGAAACACAAGTAACTGCAGGGAGCGCACCTCCATCCAGCCCCCATCATCAGGACATAAAATAAACAGTTACACATTGCGATTACACAATGATAACCCAATAGGAATTTAATTAGCGCCAAGGATACACACACATTACTCCAACACGAACATTTATAGATGGTATTGAAAAACAATAACAAGCAAAAAATCGACCTACACAGAAAAATCAGTACCCTCACAAAGCAAGAATTATTAACGTACATACTAAACAAGTAACTTAGAAGTAACCACCATACAAATCTCAGCCAACTCGACCACTGCCAAAAATCTGCGCCAGGCCCGCATCACTACGGATACGATGAGCAGGCGCCCCATCTTCCTTACGCGCATAGATGCGTCCGTCCTTTGTCCAGACGTACCTATACCCAGTCCGCTGCCCAGCCTCACGAGCGCTATGGAACAATTTACTGTTCGTTTGTGTGAGGCGCTCATTTACGTATACCCGACGCGGCGGGCCGCTCACGTCGAGGTCAGCCGTGGTGAGGCCGCGTCGCACGCGCGCAGCGCGCAGCAGTTGGTCGCGGACACCGCGGCGCGCCAGTCGCACCGCAATGACACGCGCCCGTGGTTCTCCCGGCGGCGCGTCAACACCCTCGATAAAATTACGCCTCACAGCACCGATGCGCTCGATGTTTACAATGTCCTGCTCGTCCATGGTGACACCCAGTTTCGCCGATAAAACCCTTACTGTGTGGAATCCGTTTTCACCCTTTGTCTCTGGTATGCCAGCAATTATCAGGTCGTTCTGTAGGAGCTCCTGATCACGGTCGTTCAGCTGTGTTTTTAAAGCTGCAATACTTGCTTCCACAGCGTCGAAGTTCGCCGGACTTTGCTCCTCAAAGCGCCTCTCAATGTCGGACACTTTGCTTTCAATTGTTGTCATGCGCTGGTCGCAATCATTTACTGTCATGCGCAGACTCAGGAGCTCGCTTTGAAATTGACGAAACTCGTCCCTCATAGCACCCAATTCCTGCCTAAAGCACCTAATTTCATACGCCACATTTAGGTCGGTGGTACTCGCGGCAGGGTCACTCAGTGGGTTTTGGGTTTCCGTGCAGCAATCGGACATCGCACTCTTAACGGGAGTGGCCGAGTTGTCTTGCCTGGGTGCCTTGGCCTTGCAACCCGGGCAGAGCCAGGTCGGCGACACTTTGGCTGCCGCCGGAAAACCCACACAGCCGGGATGATAAGCACCTGGGCACCTGGTGCAACGAATGCACTCGGCCGACGAGATAAATTTGCCACAACCTCCGCACTTAGCCATGACCGCTCTATAATTATGTAGGTACTCAGACAAATATACACTAGGTACCTAATATCAACACTTGACACACAATATTCAGACTCAGGACTTTGTAACCGCTATATTTAGTAAACTGTTTTAGTTTTAAATGCTGTTATCATTTATTATTGTCATTTATTTAGGAGTTATGGTTTATTTGATTATTAATATTTTAAGTTGCGGGTGGTAAACGATGAATTGTTGTGTTTAATTATTTAGTTTTTAGTTTATTCTGGATTCACTGAACACTGTCACTAGATAACTATAGACGCACTTGATTGTACTGTAAGCTGTACTTTTAGCAATAAACTATTACACTGCGATCGCTGTTTCTATTTATTTACTCGACTTTTACACACTCCGATCAGCTGTTCGCCGCGTCCGTGACGTCACTATGTTCGGCTGAATGTTTTTATTTTGTTTGTTCGCGCAGTACTCCGCCATTTGTGAACTGATTTCCAAAATTCTTGTTTTGTTTGAAAGGGTATACTCCCGAGATGATCCCATTTCCATCAGGTCAGGATCTGATGATGGGATCCTAGGGAAACCGTGGGGAATAATTTGTCTATTATGTTTTTTGATTAGGATTATTAACCACTACAATTTGATAAGGGTCTGGAGTCGACCTGATGATGGAACTGAAAGATAGTCGAGAGAACTCCTCAGCGGTTTAAATTAACTACCTTGTGTTTGGGCTTGATTGTAACATATCAGTACTAGTAATAGTTATTTTTTGTTTTCTTTTTAGTTTTAAATATGTATTGAGTTGTACGTATTACTTCTTTACTACGAGATTGCTAGAATTCGGAATCAGTAACATTGTTCGAACGATAATGCAAAATGAACGCATTGAAAAAGTTTTAGAAAAATTTCTACTCAATAAGGTACCATTTAATACCAAACTTGCATTTCGATTTTGACCTCCAAAGGCCAATACTCTAGATTTAGAAGCACGTGAAAATATAGAGGACATACCTATTCACAATCCGACCTCACGTGGACTGCAAATAGTTGCTATTGTAGTCAAATTCTGTGCGATTTTGTTCAGATTACTCAACAAAACGCATCCGTCGAAACGTGCACGTGTCCATACGTTGATATTGTTGACTGATTTGAAGTTGTAGTAGATAGAATATTAGTAAACAACAATTTTGCCGTGATATTTATGATAAAGTCTATCCTTAAAGTACCTGTCAAGTTTCCTATGGCTAAGCTTGCGATTCCCTAAGTTGTGGAAAATAAAGGCAGACTATAAGTTTTTTATTCTGCGCTGCTGTGCTTCTTGTAAAATTATACATACATACAACAGAACACCACGCTGTTTATCCCCGAAGGGGTAGGTAGAGGTGTACATTACGACACTTAATACCACAATGAGACCCACTTTGCACTATTTATATTATGAGTGTCATATATCAATAGGGAGTGAACCTATTGCCATATACACGGCACATTTTCAAACTCCGTGCTAGGTACTACAGAGTTTTTTTTTAAAACCCAGTAATACTTTCCCCGACTCGGGAATCAAACCCGAGACTTCTTGCCCGGCAGTCGCACTTGCGACCACTCGTCCAACGAGGCAGCCTTTTACAACCAAAGCCTTTTACATTAAAATATTCAATCATTGGATGAACTCTACACCTCGTCTGTTTTCTATCAAGCTTCTAAAATAAAAACGATGTCCTTAGTGATTCTCGGTGTAAGTAGGTACCATCAAATTGTTCTAGGATCCATAAAGTATTTCAAGCTCAGTTACCAGCGACGATCATCCGTCCCATCTCACAGGAACGTGGGCGCTAACAGCTTACCGTGCAATCACGCACAAATAGATTCATCATTAGCGCTAGTTCCCGTGGCCGAAATAGCATCAAATAAGGAAGACATACATTGTCTCAAGGTGTTACTGGTTAGCTATGAATAGACCATCAACGCTGCATCATGACAATTCATGATTTCCACCTGAACTGAATAAATTAAAGGTAGACGTCATATCTTTACTGAGTTAGGAGCCGTGAGGGCTCCTCAAATACTAAATGATAGGTGTAACGTTCTCCGTTTTACAAAATGTTCAGAGTATAGTCTAATTTAGTTACAATAATGTTAGCAGGTATAAATAAAAACTACCTAAAACCTATGAGAAAATAGTAAATAGTTTGCTTAAGGGCAGGCGTGCTCCGTCGTAGGTCACATCGTTTATCGACAGTAGAAATAGTGACTAAACGCCGACTAATTTTCAATATAAACAAAGTTATGAAAAAGTGAAGAATGAAAACAACAACGGCTTCAAAAAACACCCAAATTCCACAATTACCGATCAAAACCCAAGTTTCCGTGCACCAAACACGATAATTGACACGGCCATAATTGAATTAGTCGACTGTTGCGCCGTTGCCGCCAAAGAGTGAATTATACCAATCAAGGACTATTGAGCTGAACATCCTGCTTTACTGGAAGAACTGCTCTTGGAAATTAGGACCGCCATTGTTCTTTAAGTAACAGGTAGATTGGTTAATGTTGGTGGTATCAAAATGGTAATAAAGACACCAAAATTGTTTGCCCGTTGTCCAATTTTTTGGCAGCTGTGTCCAGAGGCTGACTATAAGATGTTTATTTCATGTGACTAACTGCCAGTTTCAATAATCGGAGCCCAAATGGTCCCGTACAGTTCGGTTTCAGAGGAATTTCCTCCCACAAACCTTCCGATTGTGGAATACCGTGGTTTGGGGTTCTTCAAGAGGGGAGTGAATAGATTTCTTAAGGGTCGGCAAGTTGCATGTAATGCCCCATGTGTTGCAAGCGTACATAGGTCGCTTACATAGGCATCAGGTGGGCCGTGTGGTCTTTACCACTATTATGGTATAAAAGAAAAAAATCGATCTCAATGCGATACCCTTAAACTGAGGTCAACTTTTGACTTGAGTTTTCTACAATTTCTGTCAAAAATCAAAATTGAGAGTTTTCGGATTAAAATCTACCGATTTTAAAGTAGTAAAGCAATACAATTTATTACAGTTAGTTTAACAGATAGAAATTACAGAGTGCCACCTAACACGATTCTTATACTTCTTTAGCTTCCACCTCATTCATTATCTGGTCATACAAATACACAGTGATTCAAAAATGATGTCTAATTTACATGTTTGTTTCCAGACTACGATTGGTTTCGGAGACCGTGCGATAGACGAAGAATGTCCAGAATCTATATTCCTCTTCATTATGCAGGTAAGCCGGTCAAGAAGCAGCACATGAAGGTTATCAGACTAAACATCAATAACTGTATCCCGTATTAACTAGTTGGTTAAATTCAAAAGATTGATTTTACTTGTAATGATCATGTTATGCCGTAAATATGTTCCATGTATGCACTTGTAACAACCAACTTCATATTTTACGATGTGTATTTCCCTAGGAAACTTATTAAACAATGAATAACGATAATGACACACCGTACAACAAATATCTATAACTACTAATGTTTACTACAACGACCGTCGTTCAGTGTCATTTAAATAATAGAAATCGTGTAATTAACAGATGGTTAATCATTTGTAAATAAATTAAGGATAAAGTTAGTTACTCATAACGCCATCTAGTTGAAAAGAAAGAAACTTTTTCATTTTTCATTTGTGACTTGTTTAAGAGATGGCGATAGTAGTCGATTGAGATCGAGAGGTGTTAGTTTTGCTGATTGTACACGTAACAATTTGTTACACATGTGTATAAAAATTTAGACTTTTTACTGAGTAAATTATTAATTATTAACCGTCACATTTCAGTTGATTCTGGGCACTGGTCTATCAGGGGTTCTGACTTGTGTCGTGTACGCTAAGCTGACTAGACCTGAAAAACTCTCCAGAGATGGCGTTGGCTTCAGCAAAAAAGCTGTGGTAAGAATTTTAAGCTTTTTATATCTATTACTCTGAGAAATAACATCAAATCTTTTGAACTCACCGAATAACATATATGTATGTAGCGAGCAGTCATAATAAATTGGTATCCTAATGATGATTATTATTTGCAGATCAGCATGCGTGACGGCCGCCTATGCTTGATGATGAGAGCCTGGGACCTCAACTATGACCACATCATCAGCTCCGAGTTCACTGCACATTTTGTCAACACCTACAGGTGTCGTTAATTTCTAATTTTGATATTTACTTTTATGCCTAATCGGTAGATGGCGTTAGTAAGACAAAACTGTTAAAAAATCAGTAGTATGCACATTGTGTAAGCGCCTCCAGTGATTCAAATATTCTATCGTAATATGACTCAACATATTTCATTATCTGAAGGTTATTCAATTACAGATCTGTCAATTCAAACACATCTTCTGAATGTGTGAAAAATCAAACTAAATCTCTTGGCCTGGCTAACATTCACAATAAATAATTTGCCACCAATATTTTTCTGCAAAACATTGTCCATTGCTGTTCCAGAACGAAGGAAGGCGAAGTAATTCGATATTACGCGCGCTGTCTCACGCTACAGCAGCGACAGTTCCTGCTGTGGCCGGTGACACTAGTCCATGTGATCGATGAGACCAGCCCTCTGTTCGGGTATACACCAGAGCTGATTGCACATAATAGGTATGATGTTTCTGTCTTTACTGAAAATTAAATAAAATTCGAAAGGTTCTCCTGTACCTTTCATATTGCGATGTACAAGCCAAGCAAATTATGTAGAGGAGACTGACGGCATTCTGATTTCTACCCAATCCAATAAGGATATTGTTACCACTTTTATGGTTGAATGAAATATCAGCTGATATCCAAAGACTGCCTCGTTGGTAAAATGGTCGCAAATGCGATTTGGTTCCATTTCCTGGTCAAGCAAAGTATTACCGGGTATTTAACAAATTCTCAGTGGAATTGTGCCCGGTATATGACAATAGGCTCACCCGCTATTATATGGGACTCATAACATTAATAGTTAAAAGTAATTGTTACATTGTACAGTTGCATTAAGTGCCGTAATTTTCACTTCTAGGATAGGTACATTAGGTTATTGCTTTTTCGTCGTACGTACTAACTTTCTGTTTAACTTCTTTACATATTTACTCCTCTTACGACTAATTCGTATCACGTGCGGAATAAGACCTAGTTTCGTATGCTTATTTATTTTATAGTCTATTAAAATTAATAATCTGTTTAAAATGAGAAGACGACCAAAGAAAAGAAGGGAACTTAAAAAACTTTATCCCCGAAGGGGTAGGCCCTTCGGGGATAAAGTTTCTAACTAAAGGTAACTGTCGTATCGTAAGATAAAGTATAAAAACTTTGTTCGCAGCTACGAGATTACAGTGAGTTTGAAAGGTGCCTCAGCATCAATGGGAACGTTCACTCAGAGCCAGACATCCTACCTCCCTAAAGAGGTCGCATGGGGCTTCAGATTCCCTCCTGTTGTGAAGTGAGTGAAGTACTTATCAATTTGACTGATTTACAGACAGATTTACCGTCATGTAGATAATTCATCGTTTCAAAATCCTATATGAATTTTTTGGAATAGATTTTGTACCTTATTTAGCTTTCTGTCTGAACCTTGTCTGATTATTAGCCCTTACTCTTCGATTTCTTTGACTGGATTTTGGTGTTACATTGTTCTCGCATAATCGAACTAAACAAAAAAAAAAACTATGTAACTACAGAATTTTATTGTGAACCTGATTGACAAAGAGTAACAACCTATGGAGTTTCTTGCTCGTTCTCCTCCATAGGAATCTTGGAACACCTTGGAATGAGGAAATAGCTTCACTTTTAAACTTTTTTGTTGACGATCAAAAATTTCTTCCTCGTCTAATTGAAATAAATTATTTTGACTTACCTATTATATTCTACGGTTTTTATTTAAAAGTATGTAACTTATTTTCTAAGTAATATTCTCAGCAGCAGGTTACAGGTTACACGGAAGGCAATACGACATCCTCACGCCATATTTTTCAATTAAGTTTTATACCTCCTAACCAAATTACCAACAGACTGGTCCTCATGTACCAGGCTCTCAGAATTCGTGAAGAGTATACGTAAAGAGTTTGCAGGTACGACAGTCACAAGCAGAAGTATGTCATCGATCATAAGAAGCTCGACCTTCTGGAGCCCGTCGACACTCCGTACTCTTGCGCCAGGGATATCTATCGAAAGTAAGTTGTTAGTCTAACGTTATATGCTCAACTCCACCGATGATTAATTTTATTAGTTTTTAGACATGAAAGTCAGATAACCAACTTTCAATGGTTACGGATTAAAGTTATTACACAGTTATACACAATGTGACTGTTAATCTAACAGTATGTGATTTTTACTTCTCCAAAAAATTAATCATCAATCCAAATTCAGAAAAAGTTCCCTTGTGTCTATCAATAATGATTCATTTAAATCGGTTTTCGATCAGGAACCTTACCCAATATCTCCATTAAGTACCACATCTCCATTACTACCTATTTCTTTTTATTTTAACAGTTCTACACCGATAAAGGAGCCACCTCCCACCCCTGGAACTCCAAGCAACTTCAGCGAGAAGGTGTCCAGCTTCCAGCTAGCGCGCTCCTCGTCCTTCAGGCAAAGTGGAAATAATAAGAGTTAACTCATTCATCGAATAAAATCATTCTTCTTTTTTCTTTTATCCTAAGTTTGGATTCATAGTCATAATATCTTGGCGCATTCACACCAATTTCGGTTTGCCGCCGGCTTTCAGACCGCCTAGCTGCTGAATTTGCAGATCCGGTTGCGATTTTTGTAATAGTGCTGTGAATTTTATAAAAGTTATTTTCTATTAATAAAAGTACTGCACCATCATCTCAGTATAATTCTGTTATTTATAAGAAAAGAAATGATGTTATATATTAAGAGTACGAATTACGACAGCACTATCACTCCGTACCGAATTGCGGCTTCGGCAAACTGCCGCCGGCAACCTAAAGCTGCGCGAGCCGCAGGTAAAAAATGCATGTGCAACCAGCATTAGTTAGGTATATTTTCTTTTTTCCATTCTTCACAAACTCTTTCTTTCTCATTGACACCATAATTCACAAAATCCCCTATCCCCTTCTTTTCTTTGGTCGTCTTCTCATTTTAAACAGATTATTAATTTTAATAGACTATAAAATAAATAAGCATACGAAACTAGGTCTTATTCCGCACGTGATACGAATTAGTCGTAAGAGGAGTAAATATGTAAAGAAGTTAAACAGAAAGTTAGTACGTACGATGAAAAAGCAATAACCTAATGTACCTATCCTATGAGTATTGTCAACGATTGCCAATAAGTTATAATATAGTAAAAATAAGTGTCAAAGTTGTAATCTTTTAATAGTAACGTCATTTTAAGGAATGTATTGATTGTATCAGTATTTTTAGTTAAGAACCTATGTCGAATCAAAGTTTATGAAATATATTTTTAAGAAACCAAACTTTATTTTGTATTAACCTTTAAACCCTTACAACCATACTAGATGGCATTTCCATATCCCATAGAGCAACACAGGCCAACGGCGGACTTGCTCTATGCTAAATCCAGACAAATTAATCAGATAGTTGTCCCAAACAAGAGCTTCGATCTTCAAAAACATTATCATTGTATAACAGACTTGTTGAACTCAAGAGTTTTTAAATCTATTCGAAAACCCAAAGAAGATTAACCATTTTGTGACTAAACTGACTCAATTTATTACTTACTTTCTTCTTACCATCAGTTCACGAAGAAAGTGCATTGAATAAGATAGAAATGTGTATTGAAGTCATGTTTACATCAAAATAACCAGAATCAAGTTTATTTACCAACACTCGAGCCACAATCTCAATGAATTCCAAGTCAACGCTCCATAAATTTTCTAGGCCACAATTAGATCAAAACAAGTATATTATAACTAGTACAAATATATTTGTTTCTTATCTTCGGATAAAGGTGTCCTTATCTGTAAAGATAACAATACCGAACACGAGAACTATGTCTTCTGCAGTACTAGTGTGAGGCACACGAGATCTTGTCAATATTTTGGTGCAATTAAGGTTTTAAATTTATTATACGTAGTAACAGTGCAGTGAACCCAGTAATAAGTGCTGTTTCAAAGACTGTAAAATGTAGTTAGAGATATAAGGTACACGTATTAAGGAAAATTGATATTGAAAATGAAATAACAGGAATAAATGATACCAATATTTGTGGGAACATATTTGCTTTGTCTGATAGAACATTCTACAGTGATGGTTATAAATATATCGAAGATACGTTAAAAGTTAATGCAAATATTTTAAATCAAGATGCAGTGCCTAAAATAACATCGACGACTTTAGTGAAGACTTGTGCAATAGAATTAAATACTAAAACAACTACGTGCTTTCTTCAAGATCAAACAAAATGAACTACGACCAAGGAGAATCTAGGCGAGGTAGTCGAAACAGAGCCTTAGAAAGATCTCTGAGCTATTCCGAAGCCATCGGCAATGGTTCAGGCAGATCTTCAATCGAGATCCCCAACAACATCGTCCTAACAGACGTGTACGCAAATGAGGAACTAAAGAAACAGTACAGAATATCACAGACGTATGTAGAAGGGAAGGAGATATCGTTTCCTTCTGTGGTAACTAATGTTGATACCAAGAATCATTTGAGGATTCCCATAGTGGAATCATCACAGGACTCCTCAATATATTCAAGTGAAGATGAACACACAGACCCTGGTTTGGTGATGACCATTGATGTGGAAGATAAATCTAGTAGTCCAAAAGATTCTGTTATAACAAAGCCGCTATCAGAACAGTCTACCATACCTATAGCGTCAGATACTACTACTACAAATCACATTTATGATACGATTGATACAATAGAAACTTTGGATACTCCTGACAGTATATTTGATGACCGAGAGACCACGTATGGACCATCAGCTCATGCGTATTCTACGCCTTATAGTCGGCGGAAGAAGAAGAGGACTCATAGGTGGGTTTATTTAAACTATATAGATTGATGAATGTGATGCAAGCTGTATTAGACTCTCTATTTAATACTTAAGGGTTAATTTGATTGTTCATGGCGTAATTGTCGACAGTAATATCCTCAGTACTATGATGGATCCTAGGGCGTTGAACCTAATATAGTTTCCTCTTTAATACCACTCCTTCTTGCTGCTCTGCAAGCAAATATTAACTCTGCACTCTAGTAAATTGAGTCTACAATACCTTTACCAAAACATGCAAACTTGGGTACATTTACTCAGGGTTGCCTTTTATGGAAAAACAAGTCTTCACTTGACTTCCGTCGGTATTAATAGCCGAAATAAGGGCGACGCCTTAAATCATATCGCGATCACTTTTAAAGCGAGCCATGAATTTCGATAAGATAGCAAATTATCCGATATTCTTCGATTACGCGATGTTATTGAAAAAATATTGCGAATAAGATTGAATCATTTGTTTACAATTTTACAATTGATTAATTTCGAGTTAACTGCTATAATGCGTTTGCTCGATAACGCAACTGCTAATTGTGTGATCCTGAGTTTGATTTGTATCATGGCCCAAAGAAAAATCGGTACTGAGCAAATTAGTATTTGGACTTTTGTATTTTTAAATTCTTGTAGTTTTCATTAACACTTTTATAGAATGAAAATGAAGTAACTTTCGAAGAAAAATTATGTTTCTCTGGTAATACAGGACAGTGCTTTTACTGAGAATTTCAGAAGATTTGATAACCCAAAAGTAGTAAGACATACGTAATAATAATCTATATATATAAAAGAAAGTCGTGTTAGTTACACCACTTATAACTCAAGAACGGCAGAATAGATTTGGCTGAAAATTGGTAGGGAGGTAGCTTAGAGCCAGGAGACCGACATAGGATACTTTTTAACCAAAACTTTTGTTTTACTTTTCACCGAAAATCACGAGCGGAGACGGGACAAAATGGGATTACGCGAACGAAGTCGCGGGCAGAAGCTAGTAATATAATAAAAGCCATTTATTAAGACCAACTTAGTTTCTTATCCTGTTTTCTATTCTACTCTATTATTAAATAATTTTTGTAGGTCTACAAACACAACATACACAACAGATTCTGCCACAGGCCAGTTCCTCCTGAAAGTCTAAAACCTTAATAATCTTCAATTGCAGACAGCGCCACGGCAGGCCGAACAGGTCCAGACGTGTGGTGCTGAAGTCAGGAGAAGAGAATGTGCCAGTGAGGAGCAACATATCTGCCAAGTCCATCAAGTATATGAGGGATATTGTTACCACTGTTGTAAGTACTTATGCTTTACAAGGACTTTATAGTTTTCAAAGTCTCTTATAAATGATACTAGCTACTTCCGCGCGGTTTCACTCGCTCAGCTCGGCGCCTATTAATCGTAGCGTGATGTTTTATAGCCTATAGCCTTCCTCGATAAATGGGCTATCCAACACAGAAAGAATTTTCAAATCGGACCCGTAGTTTCGGAGATTAGCGCGTTCAAACAAACAAACAAACAAATTCTTCCGCTTTTTATATAATAGTATAAGAGTATATTAAGATTCTTTACTCAAAGAATACAATTCCAGAAGTTATAGATGTTAAACCTATTACATCGAAAGAAGAAAAACTCAGTAGTGATTTTATTCCTAGTCAAAAAATCTGTAGCAATATCGAATAGGCATTTAATTAAAATATTAATACTGCCTCGTTGGCCGAGTGGTTGCAAGTGGCACTATCGGACAAGGGATTTTGGTTTCGATTCCCGGGTCGGGTTTAAAAAAAATCTTAATAGTAGCACGGAGTCTAGAATTGTGACTCACCCCCTATTACATGGGACTCATAACATAAATAGTGAAAAGTGGGTGTTACATTGTACAGTGGCATTAAGTGTCGTAATGTGCACCTCTGCCTACGGGGATAAAAAACGTGATAATATGTTATATAACTAATGAAACTTCTTCATCAGATCAACAGCAAATGGCGTTTCATCCTGCTAATGATGGTGGCTGCCCACTTCATCTTCTGGCTGGTCTTCGCAGCCATCTGGTACGCTGTGTCCACCTCCTACGCGGAAGACATAGGCGACGGGAAGGAACACTGCGTTACTGGCACCAAGTCCTTCGCTGGACTGCTCATGATGTCCGTTGAAACTCAGGTGAGCTAATCTTTAGAGGTTCATCCTACTAATATTATAATGCGATTTGTGAGGATGTATGTGTGTGTGTGTGTGTGTGTGTGTGTGTGTTTGTTACTCTTCACGTCAAAACGTTGGTAGAGATCGAGATGAAATTTGGAGTAGGAGTAGATTCTTTCTTCCTAGTCGTCTTCTTCATTACTGAAGGTCGTGTCTAGTCTGATGCACGCGTCACTTGATGCACAACCCTCCTCCAAACGCCCCTGTCCTCTGCGGTCTTTATGGCTTGTGGAACTGTCAGGCCGGTTAGGTTTTTACAGAATCCATCCACCGGGTAGGTGAGCGACCACGAGGTCTTTTCCCGTTAACCCGACCAACAACCACAAGCTTCTCCAGATTGTTGGGGTCTCTACGCGCAATGTGGCCAAAATAAGTTAATATTCGCTGTGGCATACGGTGGACAGTCTCGTAGTAATTCCGATCTCCTTGAGAATGGAGACGTTGGTGCGACGAGCGGTCCAGGGAATACGGAGCATACGTCTCCAGCACCACATTTCGAAGGAGTAGATTATGTGTCTGGAATAACAGATAGAGCTCTTTTTATCCCACGGAACTGCGTGCGAAGCTGCGGGCAGAAGCTAGTGGTTTAATATAGAGACATTTAATAATAAAAAAAAATATAGAGGCATTCAAATCTTAAGTTATTTAGCTGAATATCAAAGAGACGGACCGCTGAGTTTGTTTCGGCATTTCTTCTCAGAGTAGTCAGTTAGGAAATATCGACCTCATCGTTCGCTTGATAAAATTGACGTGTAAAAGTGCTGCCTTGTAGCCTATTTGCAGAAATTAATTCACTTGTTTCACTTCACTTGTTTCAAAAAAAATCTTCTAGTAAAATGTTTTACTCCTTGTATAATATTTTAATATATCCTTTTCAGATGACTATAGGATATGGCACTCGGTTCCCGAATGAAGAATGTCCTGAAGCTATCATCATCATGGTGTTAGAGGTAACACGCCTATGATTTTTTCAACACACAGTATCCTAAATGAAGTCCTTCTTCAGATCCTAATCATCCCAACATACACCTGTCTTTCCATTCTCCTCTATCAGATATCGTCCTATGACAAATTCTTTTTCCTTCCACAGATTCGTTCACAACACCTGCTAATCAATATTTTATTTGATCATCGTTTATCCTCCTCCATTTTTTCATTTGTTTCTTTCGTAATATCATTCCTCGATTTTTTTTTTATTACATTTGATGGGCCGACGTTTTGCCACTATATCGCCTGGCGATAAGCGATGATGCAGTCTACGATGGAACACGTCGTCCCATAAGCAACCTATTTACTCGGGCCTTGAAGACATCCAGGTTATACCCTTCAGGAAATACAGGCTCTGGCAAAAAAATTCCACACGTTAGCGGTAAACACAAGTAAGCTTACTAAATAACCTATTCATTTAAATAACTTTACATTACAGATAGTGGCCGGCACTGCTCTCTCAGGTGGCCTGTCAAGTTTGCTGTTCACAAAACTCATCAGACCGAACCGACATGTCAACTCCGTCGGTTTCAGCAGGAAGGCTGCAGTAAGTAGTTACAAAAGTTTTATTAGTTCAAAAAGTTAAAAATATGCCTTTAATCATTTAATCATATTACATCCTCGTTATCAGGAGAAACGGACCTAAGTAATGAGTCTAAAGTCAATACACCGTGACATCTATTTCGTTTCCGTCCCGCGACTAAACAACTAGCTATAAGGAGTACTTTCGATGTATAAAGTAAAAACAAAGTAAGTGTGGTTCGGCACGAATGGGCCGGCTCGACCGGAGTGATACCACGGCCTCACAGAAAACCGACGTGAAACAACCACAGCGTTGTGTTTCGTCGTGTTAGTGAGGTTACCGGAGGCCCAATTACCCACGCCCCCCCCCCCCTCCCCAGTATCCCGAATCCCCGAATCCTCCATAATCCTTAAATTTCCAATTCCCAAAAGGCTAGTAACGCACTTGTAACGCCTTAATGTTTCGGGTGTCCGTGGGCGGCGCCGATTGCTTACCATCAGGTGATCCGTCTGCTCGTTTATTGGCTTACGCTAAAAAAATGAATAACAAAGTAAAGAAGGTAATTTTACTTAGTTTAAAAAAAATATATGGAACATGAGACACTAAATATAAATTTGTAGGCACTATTCGCATCGCACGTGCCACCCGACAAGAAGTACCCCTTCGGTGAAAAAGGCGTGATGTTACCTACGTCATTACTTTTCTAGGTATGCCGTCGTGACGGAGAGCTCTGCCTGCAGTTCAGAGTGTGGGATCTGATGAACGTGCACATCATAGGCAGCAGCATCACTGCCTACATGCTCAAACCTATCAGGTATCTACTTATTTTTTTTATAGCGTTTGGTAAACGAGCAGACGGATTTCTTTTTAATGTCTAGAGTTAATTGGCCTGGTTTTTCCATATCAGGTATTTTTATGTTTGGTATTTTATTATTCGTTATTTACTTTTTACACTTTAAAGCATATTAGACATGAATGGTTGATATGAATATATTGATGTGATTATCTGATCAACGCCAAAATTAATTTCAATATACATAAGATCATAACTGCAACAACATCGAAGTTCAAATTTCAACCTTTAATATCATGAATATAAGCTTTACATTATCTTGCCCCGCTAGGACGCTGGAAGGAGAACTAGTCCACAACTACATGCACCAGCTGGAACTGAAGGAGTCTCGAGCGTTCCTGCTGTGGCCCATTACCGTGGTGCACGTCATCAACCGACGGAGTCCGCTCTATGACTTCTCTGCTCAAGACATGATGGATTACAGGTGAGCTTTAGATATTATATTATAGTTCTTTCTTCTGGATGTTTCTCATTTGGGCAGGTTGCAAATGCGACTGCCGGGCAAGGGGTTTCGGGTTCAATCCCCGGGTCGGGCAAAGTATTACTGGGATTAAAAATTTCCCGGTAGTAGCACGGAGTCTGTCACCTGCAGTAATTCGCCGAGGGAAGAGGAAACTATCGTTTCTTTTTCTTCTCCTCATATAATATCTTCTGATTCACTTCGTTGCGGGAACCAAGACAGTTACTCATGTCCCTGGGACGCGCCGGACTTCAATGTTCCGGTGTTTTCATGGTTGTATCTACTGTAGATCCTGGCTTACAGGAGTTGCAGCGGTTTGGGAGGTTGTGGTGGGCTTGTCCCTTTAAGAGTAGCACGGAGTCTGGAATATGGCAATAGGCTCACCCCCTATTAAATGGGACTCATAACATAACCTGTGCACCTCTGCCTACCCCTTCGGGGGTAAAAGGCGTGAAGTAATATCAGTATTTTACTTGAAGTTAATGTCATCTTCTCTCTACAAGTCGGTACAACATTCTTAGCTGAAAAAAATGATAATATTATTTCTGTAAATAAATTAGTAAATAGATAGTATGTACAAACCCTTATACGAAGCCGATTTCTCTAAATCTTTAATAAAATTACATCCGAAACTGCAAATCATGTGGGTTAAACACTACTGGTCCACCTCTTTGTGTTTTGTAATACATATTTTCGAAACTATAATAAGTTGCCCATATTGTTCTAGATTTGAGATCGTGGTCTGCCTGACCGGTGCCTCGAAGAACATGGGCACCACAACACAGAGTAGAACCTCGTACCTCTCCAAGGAAATCATGTGGGGATACCGGTTCAAAAATGTTGTGCAGTAAGTAGCATTGAATAATGTATTATACATAAACAACATATATAACACTAGTATAATATAATACTAATATAAATTGACTGCCTCATTGGCCGAGTGGTCGCAAAAGCGACTGCCGGCAAGGGGTATCGGGTTCGATTCCCGGGTCGGGCAAAGTATTACTGGGTTTTTAATTCTCAGTAGTAGCACGGAGTGTGGAATTGTGCCCGGTATATGGCAATAGGCTCACCCCCTATTACATGGGACTCATAACATAAATAGTGAAAAGTGGGTGTTACATTACAGTGGCATTAAGTGCCGTAATGTGCACATGCCTACCCTTTCGGGGATAAAAGGCGTGATGTTATGTATCTTTATATATATAATTCTTCTGTGAGTGTGTATGTCACTGAACTTCTCTCAAACGACTGGACCGATTTTGATGAATTTTTTTGTGTGTTTTCAAGGGGATTTGGAAAAGGTTTAGATTCACAAATCAGCCCGGCAAATGGCGCTGCAGTCGCAGTTTAGGTTATTTATCCTAAACGGCTGAACTAATTTGAATGAATTTTTGTTTATAATATAAGGAAACTGGGTTTTTTCTCGAACGAAAATAATAGAACGACTGTCACCTTATTTCATCAAAATATTGCTGGTGTACTTAACAAACAAGAATTGATCGAGGTAGCCATCACGAACTTACAAAAAGTGCTTGGCTCCGTAGATATTATATGTTTATCAGAAACGTTCCTTAAAAGTGGTTGTGAATCTAACCTTAAAATTAATAATTATAAACTGGTATCCTTCTTTTCTCGACCAAACCAACGCCGGGGAGGCGCATGTATCTTATTGAAAAATAACCTACAATTTCGAGTAATTAAAAATCTCACCCAGAGTATTCCCCTTCAATTCGAATGCTGTGCTATTGAAATTATGAAATTTAATCTAATGGTGGTATGCATATATAGAACACCTACGCGTGATACGTCGATATTTCTGAACAATCTGGAACAACTAACCAGTAAATTATGTAGTAAAAAAAAACAAGAAAATAATCATATGTGGCGACTGGAATATTGACATACTGAAAACAAACAAAACGTCTAATGATCTGAATTCCATTCTTAATAATAATAATCTTAAAAACCACATCAAATTACCTACGAGAAAAACCTCATGCTTGGACTTAATTGTAAGTAACATACATGACGCTAAACCTGGACTTCACTATCTAGCGCTTTCAGACCATGAAACTGCACAATCTATAACAGTTAACTTAGATACTGATTGTCAAATTAAAGACATGCACAACTCCTGGTTTAAAAGTGTACGAGAACTCAGTGACGAAAATATACTTAAATTTGAAAACTGTATGTCAAACCTATCGTTTTCTGAAATATACGAAGCCCAAAATACAAATGACGCATTCGATAAACTACATGATACAATTACCTTGTTTTACAATTTATGCTTCCCTATAGTGAAAGTCAAAAATACTTTAAAAACAATAAAAAATAGAGGTCTAACAAAAAGCATAAAAAGATGCTGCATAATAAAACGGACATTGTACCTTAAATATAACATTCAGAAACATAATAAAAAACAAAATAAAAAAAAAATATGACGACTACGCGCGAATATTGAAAAGATGTATATATAGTGCACAGCAGATTAATAGCATGCGCTACATTAATAAAGCCAAAAATACATGTAAGGCAGCATGGAACATGATTAAAACTGAGACAAACAATATGACATATAATTCATATAAATTGACATTATTAATATTAATGGTAAAAAATATGACAATCCGAACCAAATTTGTAATTTATTTAATGAATATTTTGTATCCCTAACCAATCTGACAAAAACTACTCATAAAAATACCCAGGATACTAAAATAACAATTCCTCAAAATTCAAATAGTATTTTTCTTACACCAGTAGATGAATCCGATGTCTACAAGATAATCCATAATTTAAGAAACACAAACTCGACTGGCTATGACGACTTAAGCACGAAAGTGTTAAAAAGATGTGCAAAGAGTCTAACATCACCTTTAACTTTTATTATAAACCTTTCCCTAACAGAAGGAGTATTCCCAAATCGTTTAAAAACGTCGGTTGTAAAACCTATATATAAGAAAGGTGACAAAACGGACATGAGCAATTACCGCCCAATAACTCTAACCCCCATTTTATCGAAAGTACTTGAAAAAGTTGTGTGTATTAAAGTGGAGATTTTTTTAACGAAATATGAGATTCTTAAAAAGAACAATTCGGTTTTAGGAGTGGCAGCTCCACGGCTTTAGCATGTTTCTCGCTATTAAAGCATATAACCGAAGGCCTAAATCGAAAATCAAAGATAAGCTGTGTATTTCTGGACATGACAAAAGCCTTTGACTATGTCTGTCATAGAACACTACTCACGAAACTTGCACATTATGGAATCCGAGGGAAAGCCAATGACTGGTTCAAAAGCTATCTTGCTGAAAGAGTGCAATACGTAGAATTAACCAAAAACTGTAAACAAGAGCAAAAAATCTTCCGATCAGGATGTAAACAAAATAATTATGGCACACCACAGGGAGGGATTCTATCCCCGCTTCTCTTTCTGATTTACATCAACGACCTACCCGAAGCAGTAGGCAAAGATTGCATATTATTCGCCGATGACACCACTTTAATCATTAAGAGTGACAATAATACAGACTTAGAAAAGGATACTGCCCTAGCGCTGAACAACGCAGTTAATTATCTGGTAAAAAATAACTTACAAATTAATATTGCTAAAACAAATGTAATACAATTTCAAACACACAAATCAAATACAACAAATAATCTAGACATCCAATACAAAAACTCTCACCTAACTACTGTGGATAATTGTGTATTTTTAGGTATAACAGTTGACAAAAATTACAGCTGGAAACCACATATTGATAAAATTGTTGCAAAAATTGATCGTTTTGTATATGTACTAAAAAGGATTCGACAAACAACAAATCATCAGACGACAATGCTTGCGTATCATGGCTATGTATCGTCCGTACTTCGTTACGGTATAATAATTTGGGGGAACTCAGTGGAGGTTGATAGAGTCTTTAAATCCCAAAAAAAAAGCATTCGAGCAATCTGTGGAGCTCATTTTTTAGACAGCTGTAAACCACTGTTTCAAAAATTAAATATCCTACCTTTACCATGTCTATACATTTTTGAAATATGTACTTTTGTAAAAAGAAATTACATTCTATTTGAAACTCTGGAAGACAGACCAAATAGCCGAACACGGCATAAAGACAGACTTCGTTTACCACGAATAAAATTAAAATTATTTAAGAAAAATGTATATTGTATGTCCATAATCATTTATAATAAATTACCAAATAGTTTACAAGAATTACCATAAAAATGCTTTTTAAACTTTTGCTATCCAAGTGTTACTATAGTATTAAGGACTATTTAGAAGATAAGACGATAGAATCTTGATAGTGTAATTTTAATAATAAATTTGCACGCCATATACGGCAGGATACGCTGGAAAAAAAATTTACTGTAACACCTTTTGTACCGTATTTTAGCAAATAAACATTTTTGATTTGATTTGATTTGATTTATACATTCAAGTGGATATGCAGGACAACGTCTGTCTGTATATATATAAAAATGAAACCCGTTTCCCGCTGTCACGCCATAACTTGAGAACGGCTAGACCGATTTGGCTTATTTCTTTTTTTGTTGTGTTTCTTATCGTCAGGAAAAGGTTCTTATGACAGAAAAGAGTCCTGAAAATCTTACGGGAACGGGAGAAAACGGGATTGCGCATACGAAGTCGCGGGCAGAACCTACTTTTTAATATTAATAAAGAACATTTTATTGCCATGTATATGTGTTATGCAGTTAGTTATTCTATTTTCATTCTTGCAGTTGAATAAGAAATTATTTTTATGCTATGAGTAAGCTTATATGAATATTGATGTTAATAAAACATGGTTTATGTTTCATCTTACATTATTGAGTGTAGTTAGATTGCTCCCGCCAGATGTGGTTTGAAATAGATACTATTTGAATCAGCCATATTTATTTTCTATCTATGCCAATCATAGGTCACTCATACTATGGTTGAACATGACATTAACTCCTGTTAGTAATATTCATGTGAAATTTGAAGTAAATCCATGGAGTACTTTTTGAGTTTAGTCCGGATTGTCTATCCGTATTAATTTTATACAGACAAACAGACAAAAATTCTAAAAACTCTATTTTAGCGATACCGATTGTAGTATTCTAACATAACGTAACATCACGCCTTTTATTCCCGAAGGGGTAGGCAGAGGTGCACATTACGACACTTAATGCCACTGTACAATGTAACACCCACTTTTCACTATTTATTTTATGAGTCCCATGTAATAGGGGGTGAGCCTATTGCCATATACCGGGCACATTTCCAAACTCCGTGCACATTTCTAAACTGAGGTTTTTACAAACCCAGTAATACTTTGCCCGACCCGGGAATCGAACCCGAGATCCCTTGCCCGGCAGTCGCACTTGCGACCACTCGGCCAATGAGGCAGTCAGTTGTAGTATTCTTTGAAAATATATTCGATGTACAGTTTTGACGTTCCTACGATTTTATAATATGTCGAAAACTGGAACATTAACAAAATCATCTCATCTTCCACAGCTACAGCAAGAAGGAAGAAGCCTACAAGATAGACGTGGACAACCTCAACTCAGTGGAACAGGTGGAGACTCCCCTCTGCAGTGCCAGCTACATGAAGGACTTGGAAGAAGACTTGAAAGCATCCACCAATATCCTCTGCACTCCGAACATGTCCGCTTCTCCTACTGATCTCTCTCTTCCTGAGGAGTCTTCTACTCTCTCTCGACAAGGAGACTCCATCCCTTCATCTCCATCTCTAAATAGAACTGGGACTCAAAGGAGTTTTGGATGGAACTTCAAGAGATTTAGGCCGGAGAAGTATTTGAAGACAATGGAGAAGAAAGAGTAAATAGTAGATGTATTTTAAGTTACAAGACTAAAAGTCTAAGTCGTATTTATATTTGAAATTGCATTTAAATGGGTTCAGCATTTTTGTGATATAGAAACAAACGTAAACTTAGCTTGTTTTATAGCAGTAGGATTACTCTTTATGTTAAAAAGGGATTTTGATAGACGGTATCGAAATATAAAATAAATATATCTCTGAGAAATGAGTCCAAATAATAGTACTTTTAATTAAGTAAAAGAGCCATCAGACCACCACGGATGGGGCCCAATAGGGCTGATCCCGATACGGAGCCGTGGAGAGCTTAACGGGTTGCCGGGGCTCCGACTCGAAGTGCAGGAGTAGGAACGGGGTGGTTTTTAGTCAGTAAGAGTCTGACACTCTCTCCCGCCTCACCCAGGCGGAGCCAGTCATTCGATGATTCATCACCACGTAAAAAAAAGTAGATACATACATACATTGAATATTTACTTATGTCTATTGCTCAATATAACTATGCCTACTTAGTTGTGCTTCATTTTTTTATAATAATATTATAATCTAGTCGTAAATGTAATTGATATTTATAAAAGCTATGAAGTGCATTGTATTCTGTAACTATTTTAATCGGTGTAACCAATTAATTGTAACTGATTAGGTTACTTTCTATTGTACACTGTGTCAAAATTTTTCGCCTATAATAATACCTATAATATAATTATCGTATACTTAACAATTACATTTTGTATCATTTTACTTTATTATTTTGGAAAAAAAACAGTAAAGAAAACAGTCTGTTAACCCCGAAGAGGTAGGCAGAGGTGCACATTACAGCACTTAATGCCTCTGTACAATGTAACACCCAATTTTCACTATTTACGTTATGAGTCCCATGTAATAGTGGTCGAGCTGATTGTCATATACCGGGCACGATTTCAGACTCCGTGCTATTACTGAGGATTTTTTTAAGAACTAAGTATTACTTTGCCCGAGACCCCTTGCCCGGCAGTCGCACTTGCGACCACTCGGCCAACGAGGCAGTCTGAATTTGTATACCTACGTCTAATAACTTAGCTGAATCTATATACATTTTGTAAACAGTTTTACAATACGTTGAAAAGTGACTAGGCGGCAGCACTCTCTCATAGTAATCGACTAATTTCCTAGGTATAAAATTAATTGTTTCGACTTTTCAATACAATAAATAATTAAAAACTAATCATACTCTCATCCATTGATTTGACAATTTACCTATTTTTGGAATTTTTCTCGCTAATTTTAAGGATATAAGTATGCTGTTTGACGCAGAAATATGATGACGTCATAAGTAGCGATCCAATACAAAATTCATTGAAAAGTATGGTTTTTGACATATTAATAAAAGTATTCAATTTGACTACCTGTTAACTACCGTATTGTAGGTCTACTCTGATTAGACGAAAACGAAGTTACATATGAAGTTTTAAACTACGATTTCCAAGACACCTGCAATCCCCGAGCGTACGGCGCGTCGCGTTCGGCGCGCGCCTCAAAGAGCCATCAGACCATCACGGATGGGGCTCAACAGGGCTGATGCCAATTCGGAGTCGCGGAGAACCTAACGGGTTACCGGGGTTCCAGCTTGAAGTGCAGAAAAAGGAACCTGGTTTTTAGTCAGTAAGAGTCTGATACTCCCTCAAACCTCACCCAGGCGGGCGCAGTCATTCGATGATTTTCACCACGTAAAAAAGTAGATACATACAATTACATAGAATATTTACCTACTTGTGTCTATGTCTATTTGATCGAAAAAGAAAATAACCTTAAATTAAAGACAATAAATAATACAGTCTATATATAAAATTCAGTGATAAATATAAAAAAAACAGTCTGTATATGACAGACAAAGAAAGTGCAATTCGAACTTTGATTAACCTTTCTTTAATTAGAAACATCCTGTATATAAATAAACCAACAAATTAAAATTAAAACACCGTTACTTGCGTGTTTTAACAATATTTGCGTGAAAACAACATCTGGAGTGGAGGTCATTCACCCGGCGCCTGCGTCGATTTTTCACACATTTTTAAATGTTTTTATGTCAAATTTGTTTATGCGTAACTGGTGTATTGATACCATATGGAGATTGTATGGGAAGAAAGTCAGCGGGAGACCAATAATGTTGTTATTAATTTGTTTTGTAATGTGACAAAAATAGTCGAAATATTTTTATTTCAGTTGGTTAACTTACTGAAGTTGCCTCGCTGGCCGAGTGGTCGCAAGTGCGACTGCCGAACAAGGGGTCTCGGGTTCGATTCCCGGATCAAGCAAAGTATTACAGGCTTTTTAAAAAAAACTCAGTAGTAGCACGGAGTCTGGAAATGTGCCCGGTATATGGCAATAGGCTCACTCCCTATTACATGGGACTCATAACAGAAATAGTGAAAAGTGGGTGTTACTTTTGTGTGCACCTCTGCCTACCCATTCGGGGATAAAAAGGCGTGATGTTATGTTGTTGTTGAAGTTATGTAGAAGTTTGAATAGATGTTTAACGAACTTTCAGAACATTTCAGAAAATCTTTTTTTAAATGTCTTAAAAAAAAGTATTATTGGTACGTAATCGCATATTTTGACTATAGTATCGACTGCCATGCTAAGAATCGCAAGTTCTTGTATAACAAAAAGTTTCGTAGGTTCAATATCACACACACTCCAAAATAATTTTTACCCGCGGCTTCGCTCGCGTCACAAAAGGATAAAAGTAGCCTATACCAATACACACAGCGCCATCTATACCAATTTTTTTGTTTTCCCTCGGGAATAACAAAATTTTCCGGGATAAAAAGTACCCTATTATTTAATCCGGATTTCTAATTTTACGTCTGCAAAAATTCAAAGCAATGGGTTTAGTAGTTACGGCGTGAAAGCGGAACAAACAAACAAACAAACTCACTTTCCCATTTCTAATAGTAAGGATAAGGATATCACAAATTCAAGTATAGTTACAAAATATCAATTTTTATCAATTATAATAACCATAAAACCTCCTTTGTCGCTCATGTTTTGAACTTCAGTTTTGCAGTAAAATTATCAAACACAGGATATAATGCCAGGTCCCTGAAATACAATAACGCTTTACGCCAACTAACTACTAACTAGTTTCCCCAAATTAGTCGACCTTGCCAATTAACAATTGTAATTACAGCATCAAGGAACAATCAGCCGTTACCGAGCACATACTACTAATGTACATACATGTCGCGTGATCATTTTGTAACACTTCTATACAAATCATTCATTAATAGTACTAACAGCATGTGAAAGTATCCAAAATTGACACATGTGTTTAAACGACTTTGAACCTTAAATGTTTAAGTTTAAAAGTGAAATTCGATTGTGATAGGTTGTGTAGGTTGATGTGCTGGTGTCTTGTATAATTGTTACAATGCTACTCATCACTGTCACAGTGTAGATAAGAGCAGTAGGTCAGGTTAGAATCTTTGTTTGTTAATTTTATCAAGATTTATTTGGTATGGAGAAAGTTTAATATTTGTATTTGTTATTTCATTATTAGTATTAACATTATGTATGTACATTACTATTCTTGTGTGGTGATTGTGGTCCTCACGGTGTACCGCCGTTTGTCCCTGTTTAAGGTCGTCCCGCTGAATTGCTTCAGCAAACCGCTGAATTTAGATTTAATTTAGGCAATCTATCGCATGATGATAGATTTTTATTTTATTTTTTTAAATTTTAGTAAGTTATTAGTATAATGCGTCAAGCATGTCTTTGCATTGTTCTTACATATGCGTACAGTATTGAAATATGTATCAGAGACAGTGTAGAACATACTTTTTTAAAAAGAGTAACGAATGGAGTTACTTTTTGGAATGAGCACCTAGCTTCACCTAGTTTCACTGACGGACTGACTGACAGACTATTATTTATTTTGTATTTGTTGACGTTTCAAAAGTACCAAACTATGGTTTAATTGAAATAAATGCTTTGACTTTGACATGAGTGACGTCATGTATGTTTTAAAATGCGACCTCCATGGCGTCTGCCAAGCGTTTTTTGTTTATGGGATAAGCCTGTAAACTAACCGACAGATCACCTGATGGTAAGCAATTGGCATCGCCCATGGACACCTGGAACACTAGAGGCGTTACAAGTGCGTTAACGGCCTTTTGGGGATTAGGAATTTTAGGATTGTTGAGGATTCAGGGATATTGGAGGAAAGGAAAGGAGGGGGGAGTAATTGGAATTACCGAACCCTCACTCATACGACGAAACACAACGTAAGCATTGTTTCACGTCGTTTTTCTTCTCACTCCGGTCGAGCCGGCCCATTCGAGCCGAAGCATGGCTCTCCCACACTTGAAAATTTGGCGTGGAGAGAAGGTACACAATCATTTATGTACAGAAGACTCCAAGTCCAGTGGTTATCCATGGACTTTTGTTGACGATGACACATTCAGGTACTACATACTTACATTTAGGTGTGTTTGCACTGTTCTCACACACAAAACACATTGTTTTAAAAAGAGTAACGAATGGAGTTTCCTACTCGTTCTTCTCCATTCGAATCTACATTTTGGAATGAGCTCCCAGCTTCACCTAGCTTCACTGACGGACTGACTGACAGACTAAGTATTATTTATTTTGTACTAGCTTTTACCAGCGGCTTTGCTCGCGTCACAAAAGGATCAAAAGTAGCCTATGTGATATATACTAATACACACAGCGCCATCTATACCAATACTTTTGTTTTCCCTCAGAAAACAATTTTCCGGTCAATTTTCCGGGATAAAAAGTACCATATTATTTAATCCAAACTTCTAACTTTACGTCTGCAAAAATTCAAAGCAATCGGTTTAGTAGTTACGGCGTGAAAGCGGAATAAACAAACAAACTCACTTTCCAATTTATAATATTAGTAAAGATTTGTTGACGTTACAAAAGTAAGAAACTATGGTTGAATTGAAATAAATGCTTTGACTTTGACTATTGAGCAATTATCATTAAAATAATTATATTCTTAGAAA